TAACAACAGTTTGTGACACATTAGTTCTAGTAGTTCAAAGTTGTCCTTTACCATTGTTGCCCCTTAACAACAGTTTGTGACACATTAGTTCTAGTAGTTCAAAGTTGTCCTTTACCATTGTTATCCCTTACCAACAGTTCGTGACACATTAGTTCTAGTAGTTCAAAGTTGTCCTCTACCATTGTTATCCCTTAACAACAGTTCGTGACACATTAGTTCTAGTAGTTCAAAGTTGTCCTCTACCATTGTTATCCCTTAACAACAGTTTGTGACACATCAATAAGTTAATTACACTACTTTAAAGTTTCTAGTATTCCCAAAAATATATCAAGAAAAGAGCGCTGTTGTATCTTTCAACAAATAATTAACCTTACAATTAAAGAAAAACATTTGATTACTACAATGATCACTATACATTAGTTATAAATCTCTTGGACTATAACCCTAGATTAGAAATAGTATCAAACCAGAAAGTCAGATTGAAGAAACTCACATCATAGCAATCCATACTGCTTAACTATATATATTTTAGCACTAACAGACATTAATACACGGAAACTCAACGTTCCTTAGCCATGCAGCCTCAACTAACAGTAAATATCACACAATCACAAAAATTACAAGAAAATTGTCTAAATTATATTTTAAGAATTTATCTTGTCATCTAAAATCATTCAAAGAAAGAAAAGTTTGTTTGCTTGTTGTTAAGCAAACAGTTGTACAGTGAGCTATGCCCATTTCACGGAACAAACCTTGAATTTTAGTATTACACGTCTTCAAGCTTACCACAGAGTCACTCAGGAATATTTAAAAAATACCTTGTTGAAACACTTTGAAGGTCATAGCAAATGATGTATGCATATGTAACCAATGATAGCCAATGTTTTATGCACATCTAACCAATGATAGCCAAAGCTTTATACATATCTAACCAATGATAGCCATTTATTTATGCATATCTAATCAACGATAGCCAATGTTTTATGCATATCTAATCAACGATAGCCAATGTTTTATGCATATCTAATCAACGATAGCAATGTTTTATGCATATCTAACCAATGATAGCCAATGTTATATGCACATCTAACCAATGATAGCCAAAGCTTTATACATATCTAACCAATGATAGCCAATGTTTTATGCATATCTAACCAATGATAGCCAATGTTTTATGCATATCTTACCAATGATAGCCAACGATTTATACATATCTAACCAATGATAGCCAATATTTATACATATCTAACACTATAGTCAATGTTTATGCATATCTAACCAATGAT